TGTACCGAATATCTTTACTTTTCAAATTATCATATCGAAGTTAGAAATTCAAATATTGTGACAAAATTAATTTTGTAGGGTGCCACAAGTTTGTTAAAATTTCCAAAGGGTGCCGCGACTAAAAAAAGGTTGGGAAACTAGACTAGACTATATGATCTTAGTGGATCCCTCTCATCACATTCTGTTCCCTTCTTGAAACTGACTTGATTTAACATGTGAATAGAATGTTCAAGAACATTATTTTGACATTAACCATGCAATGATGGTCTGATCCTCCCATATTAGTACTAAGATGGCGGTGCGTGCACACGTACTGTATCCCCACCATCGTACTGGCTAACGTATGCTCTTTGGATAATAAACTGGACTAAATCCGACTACTACGCTCAACTCAGAGGACTGTAAGAGACTGTTGTGTTTTTGTGTTCACGGAAACATGGCTCAGCAACAGCGTTCCGGACTGCGTTATTCAGCTCGACCAGTTAACATGCTATCGAGCGGACAGAGCTCGCGTCGAGGGAGGTAAGACCCGCGGCGGCGGGCTTTGTGTTTACATCAATGATGCGTGGTGCCGCGATGCTGTTGTGGTCTGCAAACACTGCTCACCCCTGGTGGAGTTTATGATTACTAAGTGCCGGCCATTCTATCTACCAAGGGAATACACAGCCATACTGCTTGTTGCTGTATACATCCCTCCCAGCTCCAAAAACAACAACAGGAGTGAGGCACTGAATGAACTGCACCAGCACATCAGTGAGCAGCAGACAGCCCACCCAGATGCTTTTCTCATCTTGGCTGGTGATTTCAATCATGCAGACCTCTAGAGTGTGTTCCCAAAGATACACCAACACATAGACTTTCCAACACGGGGAAACAACACTCTAGACTTTGTTTACACCACCCAGAGAGGAGCTTACAAGGCCCTACCCCTCCCCCATCTTGGCACCTCAGACCACATCACTGTCATGCTAATGCCTGCATACAGACCGCTCGTTAAAGTTGCCAAACCTGTTCACAAACAGATACAAGTGTGGCCGGCAGGACCTGCAGACTGAAGGACAGCTTCATCCATCAGGCTGTCAGGAAGCTGAACTCCCTCCAGACCTTGCCCCGCTCCTCTCTTTTGCCTCACGCACCTCTGAGCACTGGGGCAAAAGAGAGTGCTCAGAGTGCCCCCCCCCCCAGGACCCTTCCACTCCCCCCTCCCAAATACACACACACACACACACTGAACTGCACCAGTCACTTTGTGCAGCATTGGACTGCTCACTACCTCATCCAGCATTGTACTGCAAACTACCTCTCTGTCAGTTTAATTAAAGACTGTTCTCTGAGCTCTTTATCACTTTATCAGACTCATAAGCTCTTTTGCACTACACTCGTTATATCTTCACAGTTGTTTATATCACTGGTTTGCACTACAACTGCCATGTGCCTTATGCCATTTTTTCTATCTCCTTTTTTTTTTTTTTTTACAATGTCCTTATTTGTATATTGTATGGGTTGTATTTTATATATATTTAAACTGTATTTATCTGTATTATGTCTACTGTTAGTGTTAAGTGTTAACTGTATGCACCAAGGGTCTGAGAGTAACGCAATTTCAATACTCTGTATGTATGTGCTGTACATGTGGCAGAATTGACAATAAAGCAGACTTTGACTTTGACTTTGATATTAGGGTTTTAGACTGATTTCAACCAATAACACATCTGTCCTTTCAGATGTGATCTGTGGGATGTTTGTGTGGTGGTGGTGGTGGTGGTTAAATCTCAGGGCTGTTAACTGACAAGTTGCTGGCTGATCTATGCATTTCACAAAGACACTTTTCCTTAGGATCTTCCTAAAAGATTGTACTGTACGTAAAATTATAAACATCTAAATTACCACTTATGTCTGTTTTGTGTTTGATGCAGCATTAGATGGAGGGAGGCTGACCAGATGGATTCCTGACAGCAGAGCGAACAGACAAGATGATCAGCAGACTCCTGCTGTCAGTCTCTCATCCATAAGGATTGTGCTGCTGGGTGAAACTGGTGTAGGTTGAAAATGTCTTCCACACTCTGCAGTCAATTGCTGAATCAATTAATAAACTTTCACAGATGTCATTGAACAACATAAGTCATCAATCATGATTGTAAGTGCAGTTAATAGCTTCTTAAATAAATTATTTCAGCATGTTTCTCTCTTCTCAGGTCTTCCTCAGTGAAGTCATTATACTGCAGTATGATTATGAAGACATTGATTTGTTATTGTCCTCTTGCATTTTTGACAAACTATTTTCCTGTTTGACACTGTAAAGCTGCTTTGACACAATCATGAGGATGCATGTCACAGAATAAAGAATAAAATTAGGAGAAATTGGTTAAAATAGTTAAACTAAAATTGGATTATAATATTATAGGAAAAAGTATGGCAGCCACTCCGGTGGAAATATTAGGATTAAAATATCCACTGTGTAAAGAGCTAATAAACAAGATCTCAAACAAATGGCAGAAGAGAACAAAACATAAGGGGACACAATGGCCATGAGAAGGGACATTTGATGTAGCGTTATGTGAGGAAATGGAAACTCTGATAAAAACTATAAAACTAAGAGCATCAGTAAGAAAAGAGAAAAAAGAGACGCAAAAAGAGAAAGAAGTGATAGCCATGTTTAAAAAGGAAGGAGAGGACACATTAAAAAGTATAAAACAGGCCAGAAAAATACTGAAGGAGGCAGACAAAAAGACGAAGAAAAAATAAAAATTATTCTCTGAGGCCACCCCCCTATTTACCCACAGAGGGAGAGTTTCCAATCCTCAAGGGAACAGTAGAAGTAACTCATGAGCATGTTTTCAGAAAGTGATGGACGGCTGCAAAGGAGAGATTGTGTCAGAATTTTGGACATGTACCTATTACTCACTGTGTTTATCTGCTTACATGTTTAAAATATTCAAGGTGCATCTAAACCAGATGAGCTTAAGAACAGATTTACATGCAGACACATCTAAATATGGCAGAAGTCACAATACATTTCTGCACTCTATTTTAAGGTGTGAGTAATATTAATGAACTACACTCTTAAAAATAAAGGTGCTTCAAAAGATTCTTCAAGCGATGCCATAGAAGAACCATTTTTGGTTCCACAAAGAACCATTCAGTCAAAGGTTCTTTAAAGAACCATCTCTTTCTTATCTTTTTATAATCTGACTAACCTTCTTTCACCCCAAAGAACCTTTTGTGAAACAGAAACGTTCTTCAGCTGTTAAAGGTTCTTTATGGATCCATTTAGACAAAAAGGTTCTTCTATGGCATCGTGAAGCACCTTTATTTTTAAGAGTGTACATGTACTTACTATATGGTTAGGGTTTGGCTTAGAGTTACTTGCATGTAATTATGCATAGTTTATTGTTATTATAATAGTAAGTACATGTAACATGTGTAACAAGGACACCTTAAAATAAAGTGTTACCGAAAAAAAAATCCCTTTGACTTTCTGATATGTCATTTCACCAACCACCGACTGTTTATGTGTCTATATAAAGACCAGCAGAAAACTTTCATTTGGACTTCCGGAGCTTGACAGATTGACACACAGAGAGAAACAGGTTTGACTGCACTGCTTAATATGATCCATTTTAAAAGTTGTTTTCAATTATTCATTGACTTAATATGCTATGATAAGTCAGAAATAAACAGGAAATACAAAATTTGTCATGAAAGCGATAGAGTAAAACTTTATACTGTGTATAAACAGAATATTACTGTGAAGTATAATGATACAATACAACTGTATTCAGGAAACATATGCTGTAAATGTATTATTGACGGTCTAATGGAGACATTTAATCTTACTGGTAAAGCTAATAGTAAGACACTGAAACATTTTATGGAGAGACATTGGTGGATTTATCAAAAAACATCAGATTTTTTTTTCATTACTATATATTTCAGACAAAAAAAGTAAAACTGTCAGACAAACAGGGGAAGTTACATAAAAGAACTGAAAAGTAAACTGAAAACGTAACAACACCACTCCTAATGAAATACACCACTGCAGTCTCCTATGTGGCATCTAATTTACATTTTATCAGACAGCATGTATTTCTGTAAGCTTGCTTGGTTCTGTTTTACTGTTATTAAATCAAATCATAATCATGGTATACACTTATAGTAACTTAATGTGTACAAGAGCAGCAGCATTTTGAGTGGAGCACTTAGAGCTTAGGTTTCAATATTATTGATCTCCTTACAAATACTTACAGGTGCTATGAAGTATATTATGAAAACATACTTTAACAAAATATTTAATATAAAATTAACTTTCATGGATTCATAAAGGTTTGGTGTCACAAAACCAGTGTGAACAAGTCATTGCTAGTTAGGGCAAAACATTAAAGGGGTCATATGATGCTTTTTTAAAGATCATTATTTTGTGTATTTGGTGTAACAGAATATGTTGACATGCTTTAATGTTCAAAAAACACATTCTTTTTCAAATACTGTACATTATTGTAGGTCCTCTATGCCCCGCCTCTCTCAAACACTTCGTTTTCTACAAAGTCCCTCCTTCCGACAAGCGCAGTCTGCTCTGATTGGCCAGCTGACCCAGTGCATTGTGATTGGCCGAACACCGCAAGCACTCGTCAGAAATGTAATGCTCCTTACCATAATCGCGAGCTTCATCTTTCAAAATAAATGTAAAGACAGTAAATAATGTCATTAGTTTTACCATCAGTTCAAGCCCGAAAGGGGAACAGAGTCTTGTGACAGACACAGTGATGAAGCTGGTATGTGTTTGCAGTACACAAGCCACGGTTAAGACAGCTGACTCCACTGTGAT